TCTGCCGTGGTCACTCGACCTTGTTCCACCTGAAACATCCTGCAGCTGTCAGCAAAACCATGAGACACCTCGATCATATAAGCATAAGCAACCGGTTTCCACCGTTCTTTTTGGAAAATCCAAGCCCGGCCCTGCCCGCCTACCGCATTGCTACACCCCCCCACCCCAACCACCGGTCCACGATGCCCGGACACCGGCGGCCTCCCCCCGGCATGCTGGACCGCGACACGGACGGTGACACACTACGGGGGGTTCGCACCCATCTTAAAGCGGGCGGCGATGCTCTCATTTCGGCATGCAGATCCCAACAATCCCCGTGACACCCCCCTCTTTGTTTTGAGGGAATTGTGCACCTCGCAAACCGGTTCGGATCTCTGCAGAAAAATACATACGCAACAGAAACAGCTTTTTTAAAATATATATATTTCTCCGGTCGTTCCGTGAGCTGCCAATGAACAATCGCAATTTGGGTATAATAAAAAAAAAACAATGGCGAAATTTTGGTCAATTTCGCTTGAATGGACGTCAAGAAATGCAGCATTTTTTTTTATACAGCCGCCCCCCCTTTCTCCCTCCCCAAAAACAAAACAAAACCGTTCAAATATTCAACGAGCAAGAAGCTGCAGCCGACTATAGGAGGAGAAGGGACAAAGTTTCGGGCTGAAACGTAGAAAAACTGTTACGTGTGCTGTCGTTGGCGCTGCCAAAGACAAGACAAACACAGAGAGAGGCACAGAGCTGTTGAGGTGAAAATGTCTAAACATGAGTGAAAGGGAAGAGACGAGCACCCGTTAAGTCCGCCTTTATTTATTTCGGAGGCGGTGGAAGCACCAGCGAGAGCTGCCTTACCTGCTACCCGTCGCATAGGTCGGTGTCGGCGGATAAACTCCCGTTCGGCCGGCGTCCTCCGCCACTTTCTCCTCAACTTGACGTTAGCTAGCAGGTCGGCTAAAGTAAAAAAAAAAAAAAACAGCCCCGGGGGGCCCCCAGCGCGAGACGAGGGAAAGAGGAAGGAAAGAAGAAGAAAAAAAAAAAAAAGAAACTGGGAGGAGAAAAAAAAAAGACAACAAACCAAAAAACCAGCTTGCTTCTGCTACGCTAGCAACGCCGAGGTCGAGGAACCATCGCAGCTCGAAGCCCGGTGGCTTTTCTCGCCGCCCGCCATGTGTTTACACCTTAAATCACGACGAAAAAGTTTTGTACTCGGTTCTATTTTGGCACTGACAGTAAGGAGCAGAGCGGTGACGTCGGCACGCACCCACCCCCACGTGCACACGCCCCCCTGAAAAAAAAAAAAAACGGCTACACCCTCCAGGAACAAAGGGCCTCTCGTCACTATGATTTATGAAAACCTGCAGCGCCGGTGGGAAGCCCGCCGTCCTACGGGTCCTAGTCGAATAATTTACGTCGTTCTGGAGATTTTGCAAGCCGGGGGTCTTTCATAAACTTGTTTTTTATTTGGATAAAATCTTTCAGCATACTCTTAAGTCATTAGTATTATCTTTAGTATTACTGGTCAGCTTTTTACGACCATTACGTCGAAATACGGCATGCTTTCCAATATCCCTGTACAAAAAAAAAAAAAAAATCATTAGTATTATCTTTAGTATTACTGGTCAGCTTTCTACGACCATTGTGTCGAGATGCGGCATACTTTCCAATATCAAGTTGTGTGGATGGCAAACTGCCCACCCTAAAAGCGTAATATTGTATCATGTCAGCCACACTGTGTTATCTTTGCCGTTTTTTTAGTGTTTAGTGATTTTATCGGTTTTGTGTTTGGTTACTTTTTCAAGAATCCTTTACTGATCCAAATGGGAAGGGAAAAAGAAGCCAAGGACCCGAAGGAGACGTTTGAAACAGAACTGGAGAGCTATTGTTCTAGACCTTTGCAACAGATTACAAGAATTGGAAGTAAAACAGAGGAGGGAAATGGGGAGTGGATCAAGACCTTTGCACAATTGCTCCTGCGAGAAGTATTAGAGCACTGATTGAACTGAGCTGATTAATTCAAGTCTTTCGCAAACCTCTGTTAAGATGTTCTCTTTGTTTCTGCAATCCATTCCTTTTCTTGTAGGAACTATTTTGCCCTCTTTTCTCTGAATGCCTGTGAGTCATTTTTCAGTCCAACGACATGCCAAGGTTGTCTGTCTGGTTCTTGCAGTCACATCCACACGCAGACTTTTGTATAGTTATGTTCAAGAGACCATTCTTTTCTTTTTTTGCTTAGAATAAAGCCGTCTCTTGGGCCAGCCCTAACTTAAACCATTGTGACTTTAATTCTCCTCCTTGAAACCAAGACTTTAACAATCCAATAGCCTCGGAAGTGTAAAAAAGCGAATACATACAACTCCAGTTGTAAAAAATATATATCTTAAAATCGAATGTAAGTAAATTCAAAATGCTGTGAATTGCAAATGTCTTAAATACATGTTTTAGTCCCAATATATGGAAATAGATGTAGCCCCAATACCTATTTTCAGGCTTAATGATGTCTTTTCTGATTGAAAGGTTTCAGGTTTGACGAGTACTAATTGGCACCGTGCCATCGACGAAGGTTCACACAAACAAAAAAAACAAGACAGAAGCTTACTCATGGAGAAGATGGCAGCCCATGTGGATCGAGCTTCCTCTTCGCATGATCGCGGTTGAATCTTTATTTGCAGTTGGCACACTGATCTGTGCTCACAGACGCGGATTACTGGGAGTGTTCCCGAGCCTGTGCAGTGATTTCTGCCACGCCGTTGTGTCTGTTTTTAATGCAGTGCCACCGGAGGGCCTGTGGATCACAGGCATCCCAAATTGATTTCCAGCTTTGCGTGTGTTCCTTGCGGTTGCGTCTTCTGGCAGATTAAAGCACGTGTTCATACATTTGACACAAACATTTGACATAGGATCCCCTCCGTTTTGATGGTATCTATGTTAATTCTGGTTATTCATAAATGGAGAGAGGTTGGATCATGTATCACGTCAAATTTTCCAAGGTAGAATTTTGCAGAGCTAGACATCTGATTACAGCCTGATTACAACCAGAAAACAGAAAGATTTGCTTTTGATATGAAAATCAAGGAGAATTCTACATTTTAACATGGAATTAGGTGTTTTCCTTTTCATTTGTGAGGAGATGAAAGAGCATTTAAAACGGCAGTCGGGCTCAGTGAGTGTTAAAAAGCATACAGAGATGGATAAATGATATTTGCTTGGACTGAAACAGTGCGCCGAAACAGGATAAATCTAATCCCTTCTCTAACAGTAACCAGCCTTGCAGATTTACTCAACATCAGCCGCTTAATTAAAGCAGATCAGATGCCAATCATGGGAACAATGCAGCGAAATTGAACAGTATGGAGGATGTCATGCATTTGAATAAAGGAGCATGCATGACAGCAGTGATTTGATGTGTTATCATTTTGTTTTTTACATGTTTCTGCTTTCCACCACACTGAAATGCATTTTACACACAGCAGTAGAGTGGTTCTGTTTGCTAACATCTGCTAATACTAGCAGCTCCCCCCATACCACAAATAAAAAAAAGATGAAGTATAGAATAAAGGGTTCGTCACTTGCATACGTCAGATTTTTTAAAACAAAATGCTGGTTGAATTGTGCAGGTTAAAAAAAAGTTAGAGTTAAGACAATGTTAAGAGACACATTTTTATGAATAGCTGTGTATTTTGGCTCTTTTTGTTTAACCATGTCATTATATATGCTGATATATATGCTACTGAGAAACCCACATTAGTGAACGTATCCTTGTATGCATAAAACTGTGTTCTCTATGTAGCTACAGGAGATGCATTTGAAAGATATGATTATCTGACTTACATTTCGGGACAGGAAGTGGGCACTGGACTCACAGTCCTCTGCGTTTGGCAAATGCAAGAGATCCCATTTCATCCATTTTGGCAGTTGGTACGGCTAACTGCCTCATCATGTCAGCTTGGAGCTTGGCTCTCACAGAGAACCTGAAGGATGAACACAATGTTCTAACCCTCGGTGTTACGCGCGCCTCTATGATGTTTTTGTGCGGCAAGAATTCTTAAAGCTAAGCGTTTTGATGTCAGTAAAAAATTAGCACATTGAGACGTTTTTGTCTATATAGTTATGCACTGACAGCTGAGATAGGCTCTGGGCTCCGTGACACCCTAAATTTAATTCAACTGGTGTAAAAAATGGATGGATAGATGTTTGAACCAGGTAATAACTAACTAAATACTTCATCAGGCTTTAATCTCCACACATATAGAATCAGCTCCAGACAGGTGAAAAGTCTGATTTAAACCTCCTAAAGCTTGTGGGTTAACATGCACACACACACCACCATCTCCCCAGAACCTGAAGAGCTCTATTTGGGTTTCAGGAATCTATCAAGTGCTAAGACATCAAATGACCTTAAAGGAGCAATTACACAAAAAAAAATATTATTCTTAAGTAGAAGACAGAAAACTGAGGCCAGGCCAGAGAGCTTTTAAAGAAAAGGTATCTCAGACTTTTGTCTAAGGATCTGCAAGTGTTGTAAATACATGCGCGCTATTTCAAGCCAATCAGATTTGGAAAGCTCCAGCCGTTTTAGATGTGCTAAGACATATTTGGTGCAAACTTAAGGCAGTTTTCTCTGGAAACAGGCCTCATACCATGTGAGACAGAGTGGTGGATATGTTATGGGCTGGCTTTGGTTCACTCCCTGAGGGTATGGGCATGTTGTAGTCATTTGTTCAACTATGACATGGTTTCATTTTGGTTTGAGACCAGGAGTCTGTAGACTATTCATAATAGCTGCCTTTAAAGTCAGCTAAACCTCATAAAATGAGTCTGCAGTTCATCGTAGAGATCAGGAGAATGGTCATTGTCAGTTGTGTCTCTTAAAGAGATGTTCTTGTGTTCTTCAATTTCAAACTGGAAAACTTTGCTGGGCTGCACAGCTCCAGCTATCTACGTGGGTGTACGAAACCATGAGTAGTAATAGTTCTGCATTATATCAAAAGTTCTTGAAGACGAAATGTGGTGATCTGTGAGCCATTTGAAGTAAGACTTAACCTCAACCACATGGCCAAATGACTCAGAGAGAATTGCAGGGTTATGAGAGTCAAACCCATTTCTAAATGCTGTAAAAATGTAGTGGGAGGATGTGAAACAAACAGCAAATCCAAGAAAACACTCAAACATTGTACTACTGAAGGAATTTGCATTAATGAATGAATGCCCTGCAGTGCTGCACCACTACAGCATTTTTAGTTGTTTCTGTATGTTTTGTATGTTTTTTGTATTGTTTTATGGCTTTGTTGTAAAGCACTTTGAGTACCATTTGGGTATTGTAAAGGGCTATACAAATATACTTGATTGATTGATTGATTGATTGAATTGTGTCTCAGTTGACTCAGTGTATAAAAATCATATCAAAATAGAAGTGGTCTTAACCCAATTTAAAGCAACACTTAATTAAAACAGCAGAATACTCCATCTCATCAGAGTCGGGAGAGCTGTCCTCATCAAGTCAGGGGACGGGACGAAAAGCCGGGCCACAGCAGGACAGTGTGGAAAACTGCCGACCAGCTGAGTGCTTGGGTCAGTGCCATCCCCGTTGGTTCTATTAAAACCGAGCATCAGGCCCGGGTTAAGTAGAATTTCCATTCAACCTTGAGGGCAATTGCTGAAAGGAGAAAAATTGGCTGGCTTACAGCCCGAGACTAAAAGTGGTCCTGCAGTGGAAGTGCTCGGTCAGACAATGGACTTTATGCTTATGGCGAGGGGTAAAACAGAGAAGGTGGACAGAATGCAGTAAAGTGAATAAAAGCCCCTGCAGGCTCTCATGACTTACATCAGCGTTGCAGGTGGATTGTAACTGCAGGGGTTGCTGTTTCTAATAAAGAAGAGTTAAAAAAAAAAAAACAACTAAAAAAAATAGCTGCAAAAGGGGAGGTTACCAGGTTCACAGCTTTTCATTTCCCCATGAACTTTTTGCTGTGGTGACTCCTAAAAGGATGCTCAGGAATATCCCTAATTCAAAAAACAAAGAAAATAAGAGTGTAGTTGACTAGTTTGGACCAGAAAATTCACAGTCAGAGGATTCTTGGTTTGTGGCTTCCTCCCACCGTCCAAAAACATGCGTGTTAGGGTTAAGTGGACACTGGGAATGAATGTGAGTGTGGGTGGTTATGTGTCTCTGTGTGGCCCCGCGACGGACTACGCCTCTCGCCTGCTGTCTGCTGGGATAAACTCTAGCCCCCTGTGACGCTGTTGGGAATAAATGGTATAAATGGATGGATAACTTTGTCTTTTGGTTTCTTTGACTGTTTAAAAAAAATAAAAAATAGGACATTTGTTCAGGATATTAATTTATTGTTTATATATATATATTTCCAGGCTGGATTATTTATAAATCACATTTAGCAAGGTGGTTGTCGACAAGAGACATTGGGAAATGTTATTTAGATTAAGTTTTTCTAACTTGAAGACAGTCTGCATGAAAGTTATTCCTGCTTCTGACCTCTTTCTTGCTCTGCGAAGGTTTTAAACTTGGGTATTTAGTTCTGCATTTAATTAAAGAGACTAGTCTCACATAAAGTCACTCCAGTGCAAATGAACAGAAGGAAAAGCAAAGCAGACACGTTTTTTTCCAGTTTTTTTTTTCATTTTCTCCACATTTATTTATTTTTTTCCTTAAAAAGCAGTCACGGTCAAAAGACAGATATGCTTAGAGCACATTCACATGAATGACCAACAGCTCTGCCCGGAGGTCTAGGTCACTCGCTGCCCAGATTGGATCTTTTCTTAGATAAAATAAAGAAACACCACGAGGCGCCGACAGAAAGTCGTCAAGGATAATTATCTGAAAACACAAGTGGAAAAAGATAAATGATAGAGATTTACAGAGAACTACATTTGACATGGATGAATATTCGGAATAATGAAGATGTACCGAGCCATCTGCTCCCGGCACAAAAGAGCACCAGAATGTCTGCGAACACTCAAATGCCCACGACAGAGTAAGTATTTGAACAAATTATCTGTACTTATGCAGCATGAACGTTCATATATTTGCTTCACGTCGTCTGTATGACAGCGTGTGTACGTGTGCATGAGAGTGGGATGTAAATTAGGTTCAGCCTTGGTTCGAAAAATGCTCCGCTCATCCTCTGGTCTGGGTTTTATGAAGAGAGTTTGGAAGGGGCGCGCTCAGAAAAACAATTACGAAACAAAAAAATTCGTCGTAATCCCAAGAAAACACTTGGCAGAGCAAAACGTTACGCTGCCGTCTTCAGTCAATTACAATAATTATTAACCTCCCTCGAGTCCTCTGGGTATGTTTGAACTTACCACCGCTCAAAATATTTCATTATCTCAGGGGGAGACTAATTAGTACTTTGTTGCAGGTAGTGAGTCAAAAATGGGCATTATTCAAACAAATAAACATGCAATTTGAATTAGTCTTAAGTTTAATTATTGTGTTTCAGCTATTGGAAAGGGTCACCAGGCAACAATAGGCTTAGAGGCCATAGTAAACCCCTAAATCCCCATAAATCACAATACATTTTACAATATTTTCTTGTTAAGATCCTTTTACTATATTTATGACTGCCCTAAGCTTGCATACATAAATATATAGATCTCTATGAGATGATGACATTATAATTCATTGAAGTGTTCTCAAATTATGTTGTGTTATTGCTGTTTAATTATTGTTACTCACACTGAAATGGAAGTACTGTATACTTCCTTTGTCGGGTTCACCATTAAATTTTGTGACTTTAACTTGGCTCCCAAAACAAGCACATCTTTTTAAACTGAGAAGAATACTAATTGGTTGTCAGTTTGTCATCGTTTGGCCCTCTTGTCATGCTGATGACCAACACAAGATGGCAGACTTGATATGATCTTCTTATATGAGAGCCTTCAGAGGGCCCCG